CGTGAGTTTTCGAACTGTTGGGTTGACAGGAACTGGGGAGGAAACAGGAGCTCACCTTGTTAACGCGAAGGCTGGACTCGAACCGCTGAAGGGTCGACCATTTCTGGCCGACAACTGTCAGCGTCATTAAGCCGCTGCGCCACTGGCATATACATGTATATTATATACATATACATACATACATACATACATATATATATATATATATACACACACACATACAGTAGTATACATGTATGTTAATTTATTGCAGTTTTCACCAAAGCTGAAATGAATATTTATCAGTTTGCAGTTCTTCACATTTTGACAATGGTTTATCAAGCCCTAGGTATCATGTGAAAGTTCAGAAGTTGTTTTGTGGAAAACAGATTTCTAGCATTGTAATTAATGAAATTCTCAGGTATACAGTATATTTAATGAATCTGTTTTATGTCCTCAGTTGCATGAACTGTTCAAACCCTTCCAAAATTCTAAAAAGACAAATTTAGAAAAGCCCTTTAGTTTGAGTTGCACAGCTGTGCCCTCTATGAGACATTCTGGAAGAAGTTGTCCAAACTTAAGATGACCATTTTCCACTGATAGAATGCAGCCATCAACTTTAAAGAACAAGTGTCTCAGGCTTGAGCCAGGAGATTTTCCTAAACCAGGTCCTTTGGTATTAGACCAAGGACTGTGCTCTTTCCCTAGGAAAACTAAGGTTTGTTTGTTTTTTCAGAACATCCATTTGGGGATCTTTCTAGGCTGAAGAGCATTTTCAGTCTTATGGAATTAAAATGACAGTGGATACTCTTTGAAAGCATATTTTGTGGGATCTTGGGGAACTTCTGTAAACTTCCAGATTCCTCAAAAGAACTTTGAAGATTTAATATTAAAAATGGATCAGTCATAGGATTTCCTCCTTTGGAAATGAAACATTGTGAATTGTGGCATTGCATCTTCATACCTCTAATTGGAAGAGGCAAAGGTGATGAGGTTTATTTGTTTATGGCAGATGGTCATCACTCTTTCTTGAGATAAACATCTAAGCATCATGGCTCCACAACTCATCCTGTCTCCTTCGTAACTTCTGAATGGCTTGCAGAGAAGGTGGTTGTGAAGAGATCAATATTTCTCATGCTGCCTTTGCAGAAACTGCAAGAAAGACTTATTCTGCTTCCCATATAGACCTTCAAAGCAAAATATGTCTGTATTATCAAATTAAAAAACACTGTTCCAAGAAAACCAGATCATTATATAATGTGTGATAAACATACAATTTTATATCAGAGGTAAGGTGTATTAAATAAACTTCAGCTGATTGTGCCCAGTCCTGTTGATTAGCACTCTTTTTGAATACAAATTCATTGCTGTGCTATTAAATTTGTTTTTCAGGAGACGTGTTTCAAGAAATTGGCAAAAAATCAGTTTCTTCAATTCTCTATTGATTTACATATGCAGCTTCTGTATTTTGAATAGAATGCAGTGCTTTGTTCATAATATTCCAGAAATCAAAACTTATATTACCACCTTGATTGAGTCCTTTTATTTTAATTGATATTTATAAAACAATTATAATGTGCATAATCTTTTGTTCTCTCTATTGTTACACTAAGTTGATATTGGAATGGATAATCAGGAAAAGAGCATTTGGATAAAATTGTAAATTCACAATTTTAATGCCTTTGTCACAAACATCTGGATCAGTGTTTCTTAAAGTGTGGTCCTAGGACTCCGTGGGGTCCCCCAAGACCCTCTTAGGGGTCCCCAAAATCAAAATTATTTGC